TGTAACTTTGAAAAGATCACTAGGCCCTCTAACAATAGCAGGGTTCTCAGAAGGTATGGCTACTGGGAAAATGAAATAAATTAATGACTCGGGAGATTTAGCACAGCATTTGGCAGAAAGTAAGTGTTTTGTTATTGATATTTATCATTATTAGAAATTTCAATGTAGTTTTGCAAAACACATATGCCTGGACTTTACTCTCTTGAGAATCCAGTTCAGTAGGGTAAGTAGAAGAGTTGGGCCTCAAATTTCACAGTTGATTCAGAGGAACGGCAACCTTCTTTTCTTGCCTGAGTAGATTTTCTAAGCTTAGTCCTAAGATTATCTATGCTAGTGCAGAAGTAGAAGGTAAAATATGTCAAGACAACCTGATTCCTACAGACCAGGAGCATCAGTCATCTGAGAGCATGTTAGAAATGCAAATTCTTGGGTTTCCTCCAGCCTTACTGAATCAGAAACTCTGGGGCTGGGGCTCTGAGTTAACAAAACAAACTCTCCAAGTAATTTCTAAACCTCGTAAAATCTGAGATCACTGTTTGAAAGATGACTTGGCTTAATAAAAGGAACAGACCCTAGGAAATATTCATTATATATTTGTTGAATTTGAGAGTTGAATATTTGTCTTTTAACTATTTACATTAGTCTGATTAATTCAGCTCTTAAAATGCTGTCACATGAAGTTTTCCCTTTAACTCAATGAGGTGTTCTCTATTTTATACATGAATTGCTTGTACTATGTCCACAGGGCTCAGTAGTACCAGAGTTCAAATTAAGATCTAGAATTTGTTGAAGAGCCGCTCAGGTGGGAGTTATGAGATTGGCAGAAGCTTTCATATCCTGAAAGAACTACTTCCTGATTGGCTCAGAGTTGTTGGGTTTTGTTTGTTTGTTTGTTTGTTTTGTTTTGTTTTTTCTCCTGCCAGAATGCCTAGCACAAAATATACAGGAAACATTTGAGGGCCAGGATCTATAGGAAGTTTTAATCTAGTGCTCTTGGGCTGAACATTGAAATCAGAGTTTTACAAGGCCCACAGATGGTGGCCCTTCAACCTCAGCTCCCCCAGCTACTACTACACTTTGCTTCTGCTCACCCTGATGACCATCTGCCAGGTTCCTTCCTGCGCTGCAAAAGTGAATTTGAGTGCTGGGTCACAAGGGAGGGTTCAGCCTCCTGCTATTGAAGTGCACAAGAACCATCTGCAAAGCACTTTCCTAGTATGAAGTTTTTCGGGTACAGGCTAAGAACTTCCTGATCCAGCACCAGCAGGAGATGGGTGCCTTTCCTTTTTGCCTCTGTGGCTTGAGACAGGATCCCCTTAAAATCTATATTCATTTTACTGAGTCATTGAATTTAGCCATTCTTGTTCTCATGATCTGCTCTCTGACCCTGCCTGCTCAGCACAAGGACCTTTCTTATTAGCGTGGACTCTGGGGCACCATAATCAATCAGTTGCCATGGCCCTCAACTTTAAAACTCTTTCCTATTTGCAAATGTTCAAAGTATGCACCTCACATTTTACCTACAATGCTTTTTTTAAAAAAAAATATTTATTTTTTAGTTGTAGTTGGACACAATACCTTCATTTCACTTATTTATTTTTATGGGGTACTGAGGATCCAAACCTGCACATACTAGGCGAGCGCTCTACCGCTGAGCCACTACCCCAGCCCTACAATGCTTTTTAAAAAGGCATATCCTTAGGTACTACCTGAGACTTAATAAATCAGATTATTGTGGGACTGGGTACAGTATTCTGAATTACATATGTTTTCAAACGACACCATCCACTTGATTTTTAGGCACACTTTGGGATGCTGTGGGAGAGAAGCCATTAATATAACAGGCTCAGTTCTTCCTCATCCCCAGATTGAGATTTTTCCTTTTCTCTTTAGATGATATCAAGAAACCTAAATTAGAATATTCCATAATTGTCATAGTCTCTGATATGCCAGACATATATTATTGTTCGTCTGAATGCAGCATTTATTTCTTCAATAATTAAAGCACAAGAATATTAAACATTATGGAATTGATAGAATTGGCTGATGTCCTTAAATTGGTAGAATGTGAAAATATATATCAGGAAAGTTTGTTATGAGTCATCCAAGACCTGCCTGAACTAGTAAATAAAACCCCTGAGAAGAACAGTGGCAGGTATGCTCTACAATAAAAACATTTTTTCTAGTCCAATTCAGATGGACAAGGAATGTTCATTCACATGCTGGTAAAAGTTGATATTGCAATCAACTCTAATAAATGTCAATATTTTTTAGTAACTATCAGTAATATGAATCAATACGAATAAATAAAACAAAGTGCTTGCCTGTCACTGAGTGGTGTGGATTAAAATATAAGCTGCTCACTTGGAAAGACGAGTATATGAAGTGTACAAAAAAAAAAGAAAAAGATTTTAGCTTTTGCTAAAATCCCCATGTAAAAGCCCCATGGGATGGCCTGTCAAGAGTGAAATAGAATTATAGAGGGAAAAGATGAACAAAGCTTTCAAATTAGAGCTCCATATAGAAAAATCACACTAGGCATTGATTTGTGGTCCAGCTGATTCTCATAAGAACAACTACACAATCACCTGGAGGGGGAGCTCAGGGATTTATTCATTTAAAAGTGGTTAATTATGGTCCCTGAACAAAGTCTGAAGTCCCAGTTTTTCGGAATCTAAATAAATAGAAATGAACTTCAAAAATATATTTTTTTTTCCAGAAAGGAACTCCTAGGACAATGTTTAGACAATGGCTTTTAATCTTATTTATTGAAATGGTTCTATTCCATTCCTATACAATCCTTCCCAAAGCAATTTTTCTTTTATAAGCAGGAACAATTCTCCATTCGAGTTCAGGATGGGACTATAATAGAGAAAAGCTCCTTTGAATTCATTGTTCAAGCCCAAAACTTGAGAGTGAAAGGGGTCATCGTAAATAATACACCAGAAAACAGGTGTTCACTGGAACTGTCTCTCAGGCAGATTGGGGTGGCAGCTCCTACTTCCTAAGCAACAGAGCCCCAGCCCCACCAAGACTAGACCAAAGAGGTCACCAACAGTGGTCTTAGCCCATTGTGCACATGCAGGAAATCAGGATGGGAGACTGAAGGTGGAGTTATCTGAGGGTTAAGAATTAAATGAAAAATGTAAAGCCAAGATGTAACAAGTAGATAAGCAGAATCTGACATGTTGCTCCTGAAATCAAAATAATTATTTTAAGAAGACAAGTAAGTACTCTGTTACAAACTTGATGCATATCAGATATATCCTGTTACATATATAGTCACAAAAAAACAAGATGTAGTCCAGGTTCCCTTCTCCAGAACAGAAAGCCTCTACTACCTCATTGGAATCGTACTCATAGTTAACTTTTATTGAGTGATTTCTTTGCAGCAGACATTGCATTAAGCGCTTTATAAATATTATGTTGGTTAGTTTTTATTATGACCCTAAGAAGTAAGTATTCTTTTGATCTTGAAAAAAAAAAAAACCTAAAACACAAGGGATGTTTAGGTACCATGTTGAAACTCATAGCTAGTGAGTAAACTGGGTCTGGAAGAAAGGCAATCTGATTCCAGAACCCTCCTCTTAACTACACTATAACAGAATCCATATTTTACAAGGGAAGTCTCTAAAGGTGATTAAACTTGATGATTAATTGATTTCTCCACCTGCTTCCTCATCTATCATTACCAAGTTGCCAAGAAAATAATGGGAAGGAAAAAGTTGACGGAAGGAGAGTAGGTACCCTCGTGGTGGAAATAAGATGAAGCCAAGTCTGAGACCCAAGACTAAAACACTGTTCTTGGAATGAAAGACAAATCTTAAAAGCTTTTGGCTGATAAGATCAGTCTGCCTCTACTCAGAGCTTCTGAAAATGATAGAGCAACAAATGTGTTGTGGTTTTCATCTGAAAAGTCCACCGAAGGCCCAGGTGTTGAAGGCTTGGTTCCCAAGGCAGTGATGACCTGAGGTGGGGATTTGAGAAAATGATTGGATCATTAGGGCTCTGTCCTCATCAGTGGATGAATCCATTGACAGATGAAAGCCAGAGAAAACAGAATATAACAAAGTAGTATCATCAAGTTCTAGGCAGGCAGGGCATGGTTTGGAGGAATGAGGTCACTGGGTGCATGCCTTTTGGGACATGTCCTGGGCTCCTTCCTCCCCACCCTTCTGTTTCCTGGCTGCCACAAACTGAGCAGCTTTCTTCCACCATGCCCTTTCCCCTCAGGCCCAAAGCAATGGAGCTGGCCAACCATGGATGAATACCTTTGAAGTTGTGAAATTAAATAAGTCTTTCCTCCTTGAGGTTGTTTTCATCAGGTATTTTGGCCACAGTGATGACAAGCTGAGTGACTCAAGATACCATGCACAAAGTCGCCTGGCGGAGGGGGCAAATGAGGACTAAACCACTCTAGTTGACCAACATGCTGGACCAGCCTTGTTCTGTTAGAAAGCTGGGAGCACTTTTTTCCTTTCTTGCTAAAAGGTGACCTCAGTAGGTCACATTTCCACAATTATGAGACTTCACAGGGTGTATGTAAAACAGAACAAGAGATGAAGTTGCATCCTATTCCAGGCAGGATTAGCTGGTATTTTTCATGAAAGTCACCTTCATGCCAAGTCTCAACATTGCTCATATTTCTGAGACTAGGAAATCTTTACCAAATGTCAGAAGCAGTAAAAGTAAAGAAGAAATAAAGTACTGGAAGAAAGTGGAAAAAATCTTTTTAGACAGTCCATAAATAAATAATGACCCTGAGCTTTGAGATTAGAGGTCATACACAAAAGTGTTTCTTAGCCCTCTGAGCATAGGTGGGGTCTGACAAATCTGGTTTAAAACTGAACGGAGTAAATAAATAATGAGCAATGGATGGTACTTGGAGTTTCAGTCCTACTTTCAAGTCCTGAATGAGTAGAGAGCTTTGCAGATTTAGGACTCTCATCCAGCAGCTTGCTGGATATAGAACATTGCCATGGTAACATTTATAACACTCAGTCTGTGCACCTACAGGTCTTCCTTGGTGTAATACCAATAAATCCAAATGTACATGAAAACAAATATTAAGAGACTGTCCACATGTGATCACTGTTGACAAAAGCTTGTTCCCGAAGATATCTAATCAGTTTTTAAACTTCAGGCTTTCACTTACACCTTCACGATTGTTGCCACATCCTATATCAAGTTGGGTATCATATACATATGTAACTCTAATTACTTCATATTTTCTCTAAACCCACTGATATTTTTAACTAAAAGTTTTTTTTAATAGAATGCTTAATACTCCTCTACAATGTAAAAGTAATTTGCCCTGATAAGAAGGAAAGTGTACATGTAGATGCAATGATAAAATAATATCACTAACCTGGTGTAGACTGATATCTACCAAAGGCTCTAAGCTTGAGAACTGTTCTGTCTTTATGAAAAAAAAAAGGAGGTGATTGTGTATAATACAATATTAAGGCAAACTAAGACCAAAACAACTTGTGATGGTTTTCTTGAAGAGAAGTAATCATGGGAGAATAAGTAGAGAATGACTTTCTCATTTCATACATTCAATATCATCTAAGGGTGTTTTGTTTTACGAGCTACTACTATAAATCATAGTTTCCCCACATTGTTCTTCCTACCCATAAGATGGAGTTTATACATATAACTCAACTGCATCAAGCAAGACACCTTTTCCATAAGTGATATTCCTTTGCTGGGGAGAATGATTTGTTTTATATGCATGCCATGCAACTGATTGCAAATAGATCATTTACTCACCGTGTTCATCAAGTAAAATATTGTCAGGCTTCATATCCCTAGGAAAGTAAAAAGAGAAAGTTGTTCATAATAAAACAAACAGAGCTAAAGGATAAAGGTGAAAGTGCTGAACAATGCTAATAAGAACTGAAGCCAAAGGACTCCATCACTCACCATCTCCTCGAATCTGAGACAATTACCGCTACTATCCCTAGTTTGCAGATCTGAAAACTGAGGCTTCACTCAAGGTCAAAGAGCCAGTAAAGGAAAGAGCTGGGCTCTGGACCTAGGTCTCTCTCGTTCAAAAATTCAGACTCTTAACTGCTGTTGCATATTGTATCTAAGCATGTAATTATTAGTCCATAGGATTATATGAGGCATTTCAAATGCCATAAAGTAGCACTAGTAAGATTAGTCATCATTTTCCTATGTAACCCAGAGTTACAGAAATGATGTAAACTTAAAGACCCTATAAAACAGGGGAAATGTGGTTATATTTTAAACTTGGAGAGTTTATACATTTTTTAGGATGATGGCTTAATGCCCACAAGTTACTTAGTAATTTTTCTTGGGGTAAAGAGACCAATCTTCCATGCACTGGAATATGGCATGATGACCTAGTTATCATACTTCAGTATCACATATTGAAAATCTGATAAAAGAGTAGATTTCAGGTACCTTCACCACAAAGAAAGAAAAGTAACCATGTGAGGAGATGTATATGCTAATATGCTTGATAGTACTATTCATTATGTAGATGTCTATCAAAGCATTGTATTGTATACCTTAAATATGTATACCATTTTTATTTTAAAAAAATTGAAACAGAAAAATAAAAACAAAAACCAATCCATAGGGGGGAGCAAAACCCTCTCTCTTCCAATAAAGATAGAAGGCTAATGTAAGAGTAATAGCCAACAGAGTTTTCAAAGCACTTGTGTAATGATTATAATTGTAAGCAGTACTCCTCAATTAGAAAACAGCATTGTGGTTCATGACAGACCTCACTTCTCTACTCTCAGATTTTCAGTCCCCTTCCCTAATGTACCATTAAGGCCCTTCAGCCTAGATTCATAAAAGCCATTAGGAAAGAAATTCTGAAACAGGGTTGGGAACACATTTTCAGTCTGGTCAAGTGGGCTTTTGTGTTACTAGAATAAAAAAGTGACCTTGGTCTTTGATAGACCAAGACTGCTGGCATCTTCTTTTCTTGGCAATAATGACTAATAATCCCTCACTCAAAAACAGAAACAAGAATATGGCACACCAAGATTCAGGTGGAACAGATGATCTTGCAGATCTTGAAAACCTTCTCATTTAGTTGGTTAGGTTGTTAAAATTAATTCTGGAAAGGATTCATGTATCAGTGGCAAATTTTTCTCTGGTGCAGGGAACAATTTACTAAGAAGATAGTATAAGAGGACATTAAATTTCAGGTTTCTGGGGCTAAGCATTCTCAGTATTGAAGACACACCACAAAGCCTTTGACAAATCCCATTACTTCAGGAATTATCAGGTCCAAACTTATGTGGCATAAAAGCCTTTCATAATCTGACTCTGTTCTAGTCACACAGCTCAAGGGGTCAAGGGGTCCTCTAAACACTCCCTGTGTCTGCTCACCTGCACATCTCTACACCTGCTGCTGTTCCCCCGCCTGAATCATGCCCTTCACCACTACACTCAGACAACACAGACTCATCCTTAGCCTCATGGGCCAACGGCCATTTCCTGCAGAGTACCTTCCGTGACTTCCCAGTGCTGGATCAAATATTCCTGCCATGTGTTCTGACTATACATTGTGCCTCTCCATCTGAACGATTATCACATGTGTTCATTTTCCCGTATCACACTTGCCTTCATGAGCTCCACGATATTGGGGATGGTTTCTTGGTTAATGGCGTATGCCATCCCACAGTCTCATAGAGCCTAGTGGGTTCTGAGTAACTAAAAGATACCCAGAGAAGCCTGATCTTAATGGTGTAGACACAATGCTACCAGACAGAACCAAACCTCTCCACAGTTTGCAGTTAGAGATAATCAGGTGTTAAGCACTTTCCAGCTTTTAAAAATCTACATCTGGTGGTTTTCAGTCTGTCAGGGAAGAAATAGGCCCAGGAAGGAGAGATCTGGGTATAGCAAAACCAGCAGCAAAATTTCTTGGCCTGAATTGAGAACTTGCTGGGAGGAATGTATTGCTGTAGATTTACCATTTTTTTTTTTTTTTGAGTTTACTATTAAATCTCTGAGCATTCTTTTTCTTTTTTGGGTCTATATATCATTATGTCTACTAGGTTTCCTAGATGTTACCTTGAAACTTAAAGAGATAAGATAAACAACAGTTAGTTTAATACTTATTACTTCAATCTTAAGGGACCATGCCATAAAGGCCTATAGAAGTAATGAGGCATGTTTACTACAAGTTCAGAGAAAGAACATGAGAAAAACTAATAAAAATGTGAAATAAAGTAGATTTTGAAACATCAAAATAAATTACATAAGCTGAGATTCTAACTACACAGTTTCTCTAAAATGTGATAATGTAACTTCTAAGTCACTATGGGGAAAACTGCAATATGATAAAATTGTCTATTTGTGTACCAGAAGAAGAAAAATGAAAAGAAACCCAGTATGCTATATTAAAATTCTAGAAGAAGTTGAGGATTTCTAGTTCTGAATTTTAGCTCCATTTCTTTCCTTTAGTGCCACTTCAGCCTTTTGGAGTAAATCTAAATATGACATAACTTGTTCTAAAATGTTTCTTTCATTTCTGGCTGTCTACAGTATGATTAACTTAGTAATCAGCACGCCTGGATATGCTACAGAATCACCTAGAAACTTTGGAGTAGTGAGGATTCTCTGACCTAGCTCAGTCCTAAGGCATCAAACTCCGTGGACAGGACCAAATATCTGTGGAAAACTAAGAATCCTCTAGGGCACTCTGATGTGAAGTCATTCAGAAATACCATCTAGGCACTATCCAAATCCAACATGTTAAGCTAATTTTAGAAATTAATCTCTTAACGGCATATGTATAATTGAAAAGGTGTTAGAAAAGTGCAACACCTACCATTCACTGACAAATTCTTCTATTGAAATATGGTGGGGTTTGGTTACAACCTACATATCATTAACAGATAGCAGGTGATGCTACTTGTCATTCTTGATCAACTTAGTGTCTCTGTGTATGCTCCATCCAAGTCCCTGGGCCCTCAGTTCTCTGACTTACCTCCAGTCATCTTTTCATTTATCCTACCCAGCTGTTTTCTTATTCCCCCTTTCCTTAATCATCCTGAGTCATTACAATGGCCTAACCCCTGACCAGCATGACTTTCTATACAATATAATTCCCAAATTGTCTTATCTACTACAACGAAACCACCCAATATTGACTCTAAAATTTTTTTCCTTATAAATCAAGACTCTCAGAGAATTCTTAATTCTTTTCCATTGTCCATTATTAACTTTCTTTGGGAAAAAAAAAA